TGTGTGTGTGTGTGTGTGTGTGTGTGTGTGTGTGTGTGTGTGTGTGTCTTCTCCCTCTAGTTCTCTGAATCATATCGGCACAGCTTAGTAATCAAAACATGCTGTTATTATTATCAGCATTTACAAATGTTCTCAGGGTTAATCACAGCTATGGCCAGCAGGGGGGAAAAAAAATACATTATCTGAACTTTTCTTTGAACTCTGGTGTAACCAAGTTTATTGACTTATTTGAACTGAGAGCAATTTGGTTAACTTTTTAATATTTCTTCCTATGTTTGTACACAGTTTCACTTTTGATTACAAGAAGCACAGAATCTCCCCAAGAAAAAGTATCTTGGTTTTATTTCTGGTCTCACTGGAACAAAGTAATGTAAATCTCATTTCAAAGTCTCATTAAATTGCCATCTGGATTTCCAGACCAAAAAGGTTTGGATGTATTGAGCTGAACTGCAGATAAGCAACCAAATTACTGGATGCTTCTCCAAACTAAATCTCTGAATCTGTTAACTCTCTTTCCAGAATATTTTCTCTACTGATGTGTAAAACACAAAAGTATTTCATTTTCACATAACCAGTTAAACTTGCAGTGCTGGCAGATAATAAAAAATGGGGAGAAAAGAGTGTTTTTATAGAGGGAAAGGGCCTATGCTCTATTGCAGCAGAAGAACATAAAGTCAAAAGAGCATAAAGAACTCATGGAGCTGTTATCTAGTGAACACAATTACTGCATTTTTTGGAAGCAAGCTACATCAATATGGGACACTGAGATAATTAGGTGCAAAATGAGTAAAGACATTCATAGATCATCAATGGTTTCTGAACTTTAACAGAAATTCTGCAGCTGACCCATGGTATGCAATGAGCCCTGTATGCTTTATCTTTCATTTTGTGGTTGTATGTGTTGCTCCTGCAAGGTCACTGCATCCCTCTCTAGGGTTAATTATCTTTTGGGACTGGAGGAAGTGATCCCTGTCCGTAAGATACTCTGGGAACCTTGTGAAATGATGTATTCTTATTACTCTTCTCATCTTCACCCTCTGCTCTGATGCCTATAATGAATTTGGCAATAATTATTACCTTGGGATACAGGATTAGTCAGCAAATGCTTTATAGGCGAGAATGAAAGAGAAAAAAAGAAATTGATTTTACGTTGACATGCACGTTTTATGGTATCCTTCTCCAAACTTGTGTCACTTGTATATTAAACATGCAGATTTATTTTGAAGCAGGGTGAAATCCTGGTCACCACTGTAATCCATTGAAACTAAAGGCAGGACTGTTGTGGCCTTCAACAAAGCTGTGATTTGACTGTAACTTTACAAGTTATCTATCTCAGATTGCGTATCGTATTCTTTGGGGTATGTAGGCTTCACTGTAGAATATATTGAACTAATATTTCAAGGGTTTCACAAAAAGATTGCTCTAAAATGACATGTTTGATGGACAGAATATTATGCAAAGCAGCAATCCCATACATAAACATCTTTATTCCCCTGCAGTGTGCCTGAATGATATCTTTGCAGTTGTTCTTGATCTGTCACTGAATTTCCAGTCATTCCAAGTTTGAGAAAAAGATACAAAAGAACATCCTAAAATGTATTTAGAGCAAATTACATTGATAATCAGAATTATTTTTCAATTAGCATGTGAAGAGATTCAAATTTAGATTAATGTAACCCATTTCATGTTTTACAGGAAATATTGATGAAGCAGAACGAGAGTGGAAAGCAGGATTCCATCGCTGGAACAATTACATGTCAGACTGGAAAAATCAATTTAATGATTACACCAGCAAGAAGGAAAGATGTGCAGGCACTAATTAATATATTTACCCTATCCAGTATGTTCGTATTACTGATCATCAAAGCAAGTATAGTGGTAGTTATCTGACGTGGCTAGCATTGAATACGTTAAGCAGATTAAAAAGTATTATGGATATAATTTTGATTCCCCAGATCTTTCATTTATATTTTACCTCATATCTCAATAAACAATATAAAACATCCGTACTCCTTGAAGCTTCACTGCTTCATTGTGTTAAATAGGACTACAGAGATTAAAGTCTGAAGATTAATGGTGTACATATTATAATCACTAGCTGCTTAAATTCTCACTTCAAAGATGCAGTGTAATCTGTTATAGAAAAAAAAAAATGGATGTTTTTAGCAGAAATGGCAGTGTTTTATAGTATTGCTATGCAAAACACAATTGTTTTTGATCTTTAACTGTGATGCCACAGCACTTAGGCTTTGCTTCAGACACAATTTAATTGACATAAATATAAAGAGATTACAACTTTGCTGGACACGCCAAACAATATTTGCTTGTTAGACCAAAAAGTTATAAGACAGACATTAAAGCCTGAATCACTGCTTTTTTTTTTTTTTATGGTAAAATCTGTAGGACAAAGCCATAGTAGGAGAGTATTCACGCTATGTACTAAATGCCTAAATCACTCTGTGCAAGTCCAATGGTGAAAGCAGCCAGAAAACCTGAGGTCTGTGCTTCTGCTAGCTTCACTTTTTTTTCAAGGAGTAAGAAAGCTCTAGTTTCTTTAAGTCATAAACTCCGTTTTCATTGTTTGGGTGCCTAATGTCTTTGTCCTGTACAAGTCCCTGCAATTAAGGTGAGCTAGCTATGAAAATCTTGTATGCTGAGTTACCTTGCAGTTGAAGGAGAGGCCCACGTGTATTGGAACACAGTGGACACATTTTTAAGCCTGTAGAACACTGATCCAAGTATTTTCAAGCTCATCAGATGTCAGCCACTGAAGGTCTACTAAGGAAGGCCGAGAAGGACCTCACTGCAGAAGGACATGGGGATGTGTTCTTTGGCATGGTCAAATGAGCTCCATTTGTCATGCACGTAGGCATCTCCTCAACTGCTTTCTACCCACTCGAGATGAATCTATTAGATGGTCCTAAAAATACCCCTTGGATTGCTCTTCCTCCTACTTTTCTGCTTCTGGGTGAGGTTGGAAGTTCTATGCCTCAAAACACCTTAAATAGCTGCCTTTTAGTGGCCCATCTGGGAGGAATAAATGTCAAAAATTTGATAAACATAAAGAGTATGTAAAATCAACAGCCCATCTCATAAATAAATTATTCTGAAGCTTTCTGTAGAAGTAATAGCCTTTCAGTGCATCTATTTTCTGTTCTAGTGATTATGAGCTCTTGGAAAATTCCTTCTCAAATTTAATGTACTGACGAGATCTAGATAAGTAACAGAGGGTGGTCTCTTCATGGCTGTCAGTCTGACCAGATGGGTTCCACGTTACGTGAACAAAAAAAGTGCAGAAAATCCATCCTCTGCAACTGAAGATAGCTTACCTTTTCAGTTATTTCTAGGCTATTTTATAGAAAACCATCTTTAACACAGAATTTCAAAAGGCTTCATCCTAAACAGTCAAAAAACTAGTCATTTTTTGGCAGGCTGATTAAAACCTACTTGTATCTAGGATTAAAAAAAAAAAACCTTTTTCACACAGCCCGTCACCTTTGTACCACAGGTAATTAACTCACTACATACATTAGCATAGTTACTGCCATTAATAATAGCATGGAGAGCTATATCACTGTGGCTATTTACTGGATATCCTTTATACCACTGAAATGCCATTAAGGGTAAACTTCCTTTCATCACTGAGGTGGTGCTGGATCTCTCCATTTTACTTTTACGGTGTGCTTAATAAATATGCTGGATGCTACAAAGAGCCTTGAAATAGCATGCAAGTATATTTAGAAGCAGCATTTGTCTGTCTTAATATCCTCTTTTTGGTTGTGTTTCACTATCTGCCTAATCACTCGTCTTTTGGGGATAAAAGAAAGCTAATTAAAATGCTTAAATAACCTTTGGGAAGGGCAGTCTATAAAATATTTTGCTGTGAAGGTGTCTTCTGTATGTGCTGTGAGTTAGTCTGGATAAGGTCTCCTTGAAGACTAACGCTCTTTCTGGAGTATTTCTACCATGTCTGTGACATGTTCTTAAATAAAGGGAGGGAAGAAAGAAAAACAGTAAAATAAATCACTTTGAAGAGTCATTTTATGAGTTGCTTTACTGATTTTCTTTGCGTGAATGTATTGCTGGATTTATGTTTTTCATATGCTAGGAAATAGTATCTCCACTTGTCATTCATGTGAAATCAATGTATCATTTAGACCTATGCTTATATCCCACACTTAGGCAAATAAAGCCTTAAGCACTTATACGAAAGTGGCTAAAGGAACAAAGTCCTCAGACAAACATTGTGGATGGCTTTAAACTAAATGTCAAATGAACTTTTATTTTGAGGAAATTGAAGATATTGTGTCATTGCTTTGAAGAATTATATATTAGACATCTTAACCTGATCTCACTGAAGATGCCGTGTTAATTTATGTTTATCCTTGGCTTAAAAGAGACAGGAAATCAGGGTTTTCACTTGAAACCAGAAAAGAATGTGTTGATCCTTTCTTCCTGTTCCTGGTATCCGAAGAAATGATTCTGAATTTAGTCTCAGAGTTGCTGAAAAATTATAAGAATATGAACAGCAGTGCCAACGAAAATGTTGGCATTAAATCAGTTGTCATTGGATTTATAAGCGAACAGCATGCTGATTAAATTACAGACATTTCACACCTATTTTGCAGATAGTCATAAGAGGTCTGAACTGAAAGAACTTCCCAGCAAAAATGTCTTTAATTAAACACTATCTTTTGCATTTAAAATGTTTTGTCTGAAGGAATTTGGGTTACATAAGCTTTTGGTGAAGTTAGGTGTTATCTGAGTGAAATCGCGTAAGAACTTCCCCTGGAACATCAAATCCTAAAGAATTTGGGGTGCTCAGGTTACATGACAGGGCTTCTGCAGAGCAGAACCAGGCAACATTAAAGCTTTCTGGTTTCAGATAGTGGTCCTTAGACATGCATCGCTTTCTCTAGCAGAAATAAGCCCCTCACAAGTTTTCCAGGCTTCCTAACACAGATTTTATGTTTATAAGTTGGATTTTTGGGTGGATGTCAAGGTTTCACTCTCCTAAGACCTGGTCATTGCTTTAGGTTTATCTTACTGATGAGGCCAGATTTCCATTTAAGTAGAAGCCTGGATTTTGGACCCGCTTTGATAAATTTATTTATAGAGTAGAGTTTACTGCTCTGTGAATACATGCAAATAGACGACTCAAACGTGTCTCTTAATAGCAAGGGAAATTTTGATCAGCTGAGAAATATCTTTGCAACATAAGGGATTTAAGCCCATTTTTTATTTCAAGGAGGGGAGAAAATTATCTTAGATTATGGAAAACTGATGGAACCATCAGAAAAATGTAGATATATTTCATGATACACAAGCTTAAGATGACCTCTGGCTTCTCTAATGTTCTTATCACAACGGATCGTCAGCAAGAAAGACAGCTCATTGCCAGATACCACATAGATTAGTCTGAAAGGAACACTAACCTTGCAGATAAATATATTTGTCTCTGTCAACATCATAATGCTGTCTTCTTCTCAGACGCAATTATGGCTCATGTGTTTCTACTGGCTCAGCACCAGTTCTGCAACATCAGCGGCAGCTATTTAGAGGGACATAATAAACATCACCGTGCTTCAGCTACACCTGCAGCGTGTCTGGCTAGCAACAGCCACTGCTAAGTGCCAGCCTGTATGCACAGGGCTGCTGCCCTTCCATTCCCACACAGCGGAAAAAAACACGAGTGTTTTTTGCCCTAGAGTGATCAATAATGGAAGGGCTTTGCAGTGAACTTCACAGCAGTACTATGTATCGCAACATCTCTGTTCTGATAACTCCAGCCAAGAAAAAGCCTTCCCCTGGAGTGCAAAATGTGTACAGGAATTTGACAGTGATTCAGAATATGGGGTGAAGAATGAGACTGCAGCTTTGGCTCCGGCCCGGGGGCTGATCTGGAAAGTGCTGTTGCCAGCTGACTACTTTCTCACTATCTTTTCCAGTCAGTGGAACCATGGGCATTTGCCAAAAATTTTGACTGCTCTTGGGCAGCCAATAAGTCTAAAACCAAGCACCTGTGCTACAGATATGTGCAGCTATATAAGTTTACTATGGCCAAGCCGTCTGTAGTACACACCACATGCCAGTTGAGTTACTCTGGGTGGACTGGGAAGAAGAGTGCATTAGAAAAAGCTCCTGGTAGAATTACAAGTACTCCTCAAAGCTTTGTTTTTATTTACCCTCAACTATCTGAGGTTCTGGGTGGGTTTTCTATTGCTAGCTGCCCACTGCTGCATGAAGGTGAAGAAAATTTTTTTTTTGATCTCTAGCAAAATGTAAAATTTTAGATTATTTCAAGACTGTATTTTAGGGGTCTACAGGAGGTATTTGGAAACGGTATGTGAACACAGTTCATATTTAACAATCTTGACTCTGTGTGGTGAACTGAGAAGACCGTTTCTATGAAACCATATGTGTGGGAAATGTTGAATCATAGCCTGAACCACTGATGGAGCACCTGGGGGAAGGACCCAGGCAGCGCTGGGAGCACAGGTGAAGGCAGTTCATCTGTGTGATTGGAAGGGGTGGAGCCTTGCTGCACCTCCCTTAGACCTCATTGAAGGGTTGACCCCCCACTGGGGAAGGATCTCTGGTTGGAGATTCTTTTCTTGTGGAGTCTTCCATACTAGCTCAGATCTTCAGAGACGGGTGAGCACCTTTCTATCGTGTTAGTCCCTTTGTCATTACATCTTCTGTATTGCCATTCCACTGTGTGGATCTTTCTGGTTGTTAAACCACATGTTGCAGTTTTCAGGTGCTGTTCGTTTGTGAACGCATGGCGTGCTGAGATAAATCCACTAGAAATTGCCTCTTAGCAGTGCGTTTCCAATCTTTGAGAGAAAAGTAGGCTGGAAGATGAAGGCTTATGTATTGTGGGTTTTGTATTCCTGAAATGTACCTTTTTTAGTCTTCACTGAAGAATAAGACAATCGCAGGTCTTTTTGCTATAAATCAACACCTCAGCCAAATTAAGTATTCACCTTTGAAAGTTTAAAAGCTTTTATTCTGATTTCAGTTGCTTCAGGACTAAATTTTATGAACAAACATAATTAGCCATTTTTAAATGCTTCATAAGACAAGATAATTCCTTTCTGATCCCTGCTGAAATCTTTAAGCATGAATACTCATTATCTTGTTTTAGCATGTAAATGTTCTGGCATTTTGTTGATAAACTACATTAGTTGCACTCATAGAAACTTTAACTCATAGACTTAATGACTACAGAGCAGTGATGTGAATCTACGATTAGCACAGGTGTGAATTTGAGAGGCTTTTAATTGGATTGCAGGTGAGATTAAGTAAGGTTTCCAGGCACATTGTGAGCAGGAGTGCTGGGATGGGAAACTGGGTAGGTTGTATAATGATTTTGGTTAGTTTGGGGCAGGAGGAGAGGAAAAAGAGGCTTAATTAAAGTACATTGACTTTTGCATAACAGGTTCTGATTAGAAGTTTCCATCTTGATAGCATCCTAGCAGGATGAGGATACTTATGCTGGCTCTAAAGCTTTGTCTTCTGGGTTTTATTGACCTAAATCATGTTCATTACTTTCTTTTTTAAAGTGCCATGATTCTGGCAGGGATCTGGGAATTACTGTTGTTTGAGAGGTCTGTAGCCCCTGCGAAGTCATGTATGTACCTGGAGAAGAATATCAGCTTCTGATCTTTTCAATTCTTTTGCATGTTAATATATACTATGACTGTAGAAGCTAATGTTTTAGCCACTATTAATAGAACAATGTACAAACGGTGTAGGTGGTTCTTGCAGTTTGGGAATGCTGTGGTTAATTTCTTTAATTTATAAAGTATTTGTAAGTCTTCAGTTATACTGAGTAGTGGTAGAAGTGTGTAGGCAGAAAGTAGTTATCTCCACACCTCTCAATCTTCCAAATTAAATTTGCTCCTGCAGCATGTCTAATCACTTCAGGGTACCTCATCATCCTCTCTCTGCTACAGGCTAGGCAGCACCATTTCTTGCAAAATAGATACGTTCCAGTGGACTTTTCAGATTGATATTATCTCATATGTGAGACAATTAGGGTTTTAACCCAGAGAAAACAGGAGGAGATGTGACCGACCATTTATCAAGGACTGTTTAGAAAGTAATTTGTATGGGCTTGATTTAGGACTGTGAAAGCCAGCCAGATTTGCACGTCTGAAGTGATACTTCTGAAATACCAAACTTTTCCTGCTCTCAAATTATGAAGCTGCAAATTTTATAATATTGTTATTTTTTAGCATATATATATGTATTTTTAATCTGTGCCTTCATCCCATTTCATGTTTATTTTCAGTGCAGTGGTCGTTTGGATTCTTCTGGCTTTCCTCCTTTTTGCTCTATAGAAGGGTTTTGCTCTTGCAGCTCTCACTGCAGGTGTGATTTTAGTTTCAAGAATGATTGTTAGAAATCAAAACTGCAACATATGCTTGTATACAGCTGGCTGCCTCAGTTCAGTGGTACTTCAATCTTGTATTTCTCTTCAGGAATGACCTCAGCGTTCTTAGTTTTGGGCTACCGAGTGACTCTCGGTTAATTAAAGTTTTGTTGTTGCCTTCAGCAGAAGTGCCTTTGACTGACACTTTCAATCTTCTTTATCACTTAATAATCTGGGAGATGCTTGCTATTTAAGAGGAAAAAATCCACATCTTAAAAACTGCTTTTTCAGACTTCTCTTAATGAAACACTTAACGGGAGAGTGAAGCTGTAGACAGACTGTACTTGTGCTCATCTTTGCTGAGAAGTTTCATTGGATGTTAACTAAAAACTCCAATGATTAATTCACTTAATATTTTGTGCGTGTTCTTCAGTTAAGCATCCTCTGTTCCTTCAGTTGTACTATAGATCTGACACCTTTTAGCAGTTCCTATCTTTGTCCACGTTCAAATACAGTATGTGATTATTAAAAATATTAAGATCAGTAAATCCAAGAACTCCTTTCTAAGGAGGAGCACTGGCAAACAGCTGCTGCAGGAGCTCTAAGGCTGTCACAATTGCTTGTGGGTCCACAGCTGCAGAATGATCTTGATTAAAAAGTCA